GCAATCCTTTTATATATTTAATAGTCATATTTACATATTGGTGAAATATCAATGTCCATATATTAGGGATGTCCATTGTCCATGAACTTGTCCCTAGTTTGAAGCTAATGTATTCATATCTTTTGTATAAGTTGTCCCTCTACAAACCAACTTTTAGTCATTATACAAGAGTTGAATTTGCATTCATTTGCTTCGCAATTCGCAACAAACTGAACAAAGTACTATTCCATAAACCTGTGCAAATGATCGAGCGTCTTGAGCAACATATCCATGTCTTTTAAACGTTTCATACGAACAAATCTCACTGAGTTTTTTCTACAGAAAGTATTGATCCATTTGATCGACCGCCGTACTTTGAGAGAAGCTTCAAGTGCAAAATTCACAAAGAAGATTGAAGAATTTTGGAGATAAAAACTGTTTGTTTTCGAATTTCACCTATTCACCCCCCGGTTGAAAAAAGTAACAATTACGTAATGTTGGAGTCACGTGACCAGCGTTTACCAGGGCTATGTCGCCGCCTTCAATTCGCGACTAGCCCTGGGTACGAGGTTGACCTTTTGTCACTCTGAGGTCAGCGAAATAACCTCTTCCGCAACATGCACGTACGCGTCTACTATCGTCAAGAAACAATCAATACGTATAATCGTTGTGGTCTGTTGGGATTTTAATTCAATAGTGTAAACCTTGCAGTTTTAGGGAAGCCTCACACTTTCCACAAGAAACGTCATATATTCGTTTTGGGGATGGGGGAGGGGGGTTTACAGCTGTGACGTTTCTCTGTAAATATCATGGAAAAGTTCGATAGTTTTTTCGAATACCTTAACATTTCGGAATCAACTTTGCAGAATATAAAAAAAGAAAACAACTTGAAAGAAAACGACAATTCCAATATAAAGGCTGGTAAACTAAAAATAAAAACTCCTTATATTGATAAACATTATAAACGTTCATTTCACATGCACATGTACGCTAACAGCTGCTTAATAATTAACTTACGTATTTGTAAACATCAGTCGATAAATAAAATGGTACATTATTAAATATGGACAAAATGGATCAAAACCTCTGAAAACAGCAGTTGTAGTTCCAATTCTTTTGGGGAATTTAGTAGCAAATATAATCCTTAAATAGCTCATCGATTTGTATATGTTAGCGCTAGAGTCAAACGGCCGGGTCGTAGATCACGTTGAATAATGATTTGAAGTTATCATGCAACCGTCAACAATGTCTCAAAATACTGGATGTTTGATGATTTTTTTTTACAAATATACAAGGATTTCTGGACCACTTTTAAACTTAGCAAAGCGAAAAGCCCCCATTCAAGAATGTGTTTTTTCTCAAAAGGTAAAATACTTAGAATACTTGATTAAATTGTTTACTTCGACGGTGTATAAATTAACAGCGTTTGACTTGCAAGACGTCAAAAACGGAAGATTTCAACGCGCTGTCGTTTATCGCGTATTCATTTGCCAAAAGACGTATTTACGTCAATTGAAAGCTTGTTTATTAAAGAGCCAACTAGTAGAAGCATGATCGATTTGGAGCTTTATCGCATGGTGAAAATCGATTTTGTTAAGAGGGTATCGTAAATGAAGTAAGATAGTGTGCTCCAAAACTACGATATTTCTATTCCTAAAAGTACCTCAGATTTCCTGGAAGTCATGTACACAGTCCTTTGAATAACCGAAAACAAGATTTATAGGGTTTTAGATCGATTAGAAACGGTTGTCGTCGTGAAATTTATCTGTAAAATCAGCGCATATTTTCCCAGAAAAAATGGCGATTTAGGGTGGTCGTGTTAAAACGGCATTTTCTCCAAGTTAAAAAAGCATTTGACCTAAAAAAATATATGGTGCATTTTCCGATATAATAAGGTATATCTGGGCAAATTTTGAGCAAAATCGATTTTTCAGTCGTGGCCGCTTTATGTTTGATTTTTGTGGACATCCTTTCTTAAAAGCTATTTTTTTGAAAAATATAAATGACACATATTTTAACTAGAATGTAAATAGTCATATACTATTTTATGAAATTTGATAAATAGTAATAAAATAGTCATATTTTTGAAAAAATACGGAAAAAATAGGGCTAAATAGAGAAGAAATACTAGGTAAAAAATAGGTTATAAATATATCGGATCCTACAAGGGATCCCAGCTGAAAACCAATATGGCAAAGTTCCTTTTGGCTTACCGGAATACACCGCATTCGACGACTGGAGAATCACCGTCCGTGTTGTTTTTGGGCAGACCGCTACGGACTCGCCTCGATTTGGTGAAACCTGATTTACAAATGAAAGTGATGAACAGGCAAATCGATCAAGCAGGGAGGAAAGGACATTCCCCTACACGTCAGTTATCCATTGGTCAGACTGTCATGGCACGTAACTACAGTGGGAAAGACAAGTGGCTACCAGGCATAGTTCGAGCTCAAACGGGATAATCGTTGGTCCAAATCGAATTTGGTGACGTCACATCGACCAGCTTCGAGCCTCTAGTGTGAAAGTAAATTACCAGAGTGATGATACGGCTCATGGATGAACCTCATCCAGAGCTCGGAGAGACTGGCAAGAATATTGCACCAGCAGAAGAAATTGTCGAAGAGCCTGATATCGAACTAGCCACGAATCCACCAGTAGTGCAACAAGAAGAAGCCGGTAGGGCTACAACAGGATCTGAACAACGTTACCCAACTAGATCACACCAACCACCCGAGAGGTGGGGTCTTAACTGTTTGATCAATCTGAAAACTGTTTAAGAAAACTACATAGAGAACTGCTTTATTACTTACTGTTATGGTTAGCATAATTGTTCGAACACGATAGTGAACTCATGAACAATAATTTATGATACATTCCTTAATAAGAGAGATGGTGTTAGATGTATAGATATAGACGGACAGCGGTCATACGCACGGACATGCGCATTAGAGATGTAGATCAGCCATGCTTATGTATTATTCATATTCTGTTAAAAGTATAATCTAAATACACGACACGTTATATACTAGAAGATTGCGCAAAGTAACATCGTAAAGCTTTTTCGTGAGTAATCGTGCATGCTTTCTAATAATATCAATTGTCTATTCATAATTAATGTATACTGTATGAGATGTCAATATATCTCAATATGGTACATTTTATATATAGTCACATATATAGTTACGTCAAAATTTTGTTAATATATGGTGCATTAGCCACAGGACATCTTAGGATTATAGGATTGTTTCATAAGCTGAGTTAAAGTTAATAAAATTTCTTTACAGATTGTATGCATTTTTTCATTTAGCATACATTAAATGTGGGCACAGTATTTACCTCAGCAATTTTGTATCCATTTCATATATTTTGTACCCATTTCATTATTCTGTTTTCATTATAAACAATGGTGGCTTTCTGACAGTTGATTGTGGTAGAGAAGAGACTGCAATCTGAACATTCTTTGTCATATCATCAAATATAAACAAAGTGACTATACAGTCAGCCGGCAGCTGGGTATTTAGTAAACTACCGGCTATATAGTGACTATAGTTAAATATAAAAAAACCTTTTGTTTGTGCTAGCTTTTACCGAGCTTGCCGTTAGAGTCTACGGTATAGGTGCTGCGTGCGGAAAGGTGAAACGCAGTCCGGGTCAGGTTGTGTTTTGTGTGACTTAGCTTTTTTTTAGTCACTATAGCACTATATAGCCACCCGTTTACTAAATAGCACTTCGAAATATAAATCATAGCAACCATAGAATTCCTTTGCGCAGATATATGTACGCCTAGCGTACCTAGTTTTTAATCTAATTCTTATGCCAAAATTAAGTTAATAAAAAGTCAAAGCAGTGCACTCAATATACGACATATACCAAAGTTATAGTCAACGAATTCAATCAATTTTTTTACATCTGTAGGCGGGAAGGCGACCCAAGCCTCCGCTGAACTTGCTCAGCTGCATAGGTTGTCCGATATCCGTCTTATAAGCACTATCCCTCCACTGCCTGATTCAGATTTATTCACATTTCAAGAAGTTTCCTGTCTCGAAGTACGTGAGAACATTATGGCAATGCCGCCTAGTAAAGCTCCCGGGTATGACAAGGTGCCACTCTCAGTTGTGAAAGATTGTCTTACACATATTTTACCAATTTTGACGGACCTGATTAATTCCTCGTTTACTAATTCTCTATTCCCGCGTGCCTGGAAAAAGGCGGAGGTCATCCCTCAGCCCAAAGTTAGAGACCAAGAGGTAGCAGATAATTACCGTCCTATCTCGCTTTTCCCTGTTCTCTCTAAGGTTGCAGAGAAGATTGCTCTCGGCCAATTTAACAACTACCTGACACGAAATAACAGATTGACACGACATCAAAGTGGTAATCGGAAATTCCACTCGACTGAGACATAAGGTCTGGCAGTGGTAGACAACATCTTTAAGGCTTTGGATGAGAAGAAGTTGACGGCAATGATCATGATAGATCTTAGCAAAGCCTTTGACAGCATAAATCACGACATCCTGTTGCCAAAACGTCGTGTGTTGGGTACATCAAAGCGAGCGTGTATGTATTGTGGTTTAAGAGCTATCTAACCGATCGTCAGCAATGCACTAGAGTTGGAACCTCGACATCAGATCCTCTTGCTGTCACGCACGGCGTTCCGCAAGGGTCTATTTTAGGACCAATGCTTTTCAATCTATTCCTGAATGACTTACCAACAGTGGTAAAGCACAGCGACGCAGAGTCATACGTGGGCGACACTAAGTTACGTCTCTCGTTCCCCTCGAGGGATATAAATAATTTTATAGAACAGCTCTCTGATGATTTAAAGCTCGTGGCTGGCTGGTGTTGTACAAATCAACTACTTATCAACCACAAAAAGACGGAGCTAATTATATTTGGTACAAGACAACTTCGAGCAAGAACAGACGGAGTGGATGAAATCCGAATCAAATTTTTAGACCAACTATTAGAGCCTGTGGCCAAAGGGAACCACTTGGGTACTATATTGGATTCCAATTTGTCCTTTAATGAGCACGTAAACTCTCTCATGTCCTCTCTGCTGTCCACTTGTGTCAAGTGAATAGGACTCGCCATCTATTTTCCAAGGACATTTTGCTCGTCACCTTGAATTCACTGGTATTTAGCAAACTTTTCTAGTGTTCCACGGTCTGGTCTGGAACCACCAAACAAAATATCCAACCTCGTACCCAGGGCCTTTGCGCGGTTCAGAGGCTCTGGTACGGGAAGCAAAGGCCTTGGTAAACACTGGTTATGTGACTCCAAAAATATTGGACATTTTTGTAACCTGGCCTTATTTAGGTCATGTTATCCCGGGGGGGATGAACAACTGAACATTGCAATGCACGAACTATAAAAGTTTCAAATACAAATGATTTTGCCTTTGATTTTTAAAATATGAATGTATAACAGTTGTTTGAAAATTCATATTTTAAAACAACAGACAGCAGATTTTAGGCTTGTTTTTATTTGATGGAAATTATAAACTTTGAAGTCACATGGATTTTGAATTATGCTATAAAGAATGCAGTATATTCGAGGTAAACGATTTCATGATGCATATATAAAATTATAATCTCATATCTTTTAATATTTATCAGTTTATATATCCTAAATTCCAGCAGATTCGTGGCTGTCTGTTTGTATAATTAGCTTTCTTCGTTTAATTACTCCTCCATCGCTTTTGGATTTATCTCCATCCTTCACTTAGTTCACTAAAATCAAAATTTTCTGTTCCAGCTTGCTCAGAAAATATTCAATCTTTCATAACTGGAGTTCGCCTTGACATGTAAAATAGTTAGGCAGTACGGCCAGTACCCTCAGTAAAATACTTATTTAACTGGCTGACCATTACAGTAGTCACAAGTTAATATATGAATACATGCAAAAATTACAAATTAACTGCCATCATACCAATCCATTGGTCTCTGACTCATCCAATAAATACTTAACAGAATAGCACGATAATTATAGAAAAGTGTGAAAAGCCAACGTTACCAAACTTTGTGTGACAAGAAAGTTATATTACATTAATTTTACAGTCGGGTATTCTTTTCTTTATCGCCTCAATACTCTGGTTGATGATTCCAATGGCCCCCCAAAAATTCCAATGGCCCCCATAAATTTCCAATGGCCCCCATAAATTTTACTGGAGAAAATGTTTCCCCCACTTCTTGCCATTAATTCTCCATAGCCCCCAATTTTACCCATCCAATTAGGGAGTGTCTTGTGTGGTCACACTATAGTAATGGGAATATGGGATAATCAAATATGGCATACTTTGTTATTTTTCTCTGTCCAACACCAGACAATTTTACTTGTCAAGTGTAATATTAAGTAAGTAATAAAAATGCGCAAAATGTAAAAAGACAATTACCAGTAATACTGGCCTTACTACATCCCTATTATTTACCTTGCAACCTTGAGCAGTTGTGCTGTTACAGCACAATGTGGTTTCAAATGACAATTTTATGGCAATTTTGATATTCCAGTGTGCCACTGGCGGCCAGTAAGACATTTGTCGTTTGTTTCTCTTTTAGTATTATATGGAAAGGTGATTGGTATTCAGATCCTGGAGTGATGTGAAATGGCCCTGCATGACCTTGGGCAATTAAGTAATATCTGAGTGGTGTAAAATAGGAAATTTTTTATTCATTCTGATTGAATAATAAAATTAGAATGGTAAAAATAATGATGATGATGGTAGTGAAATACAAGTTGTGATGATATTGGTGATGCACAAGTTGTAATGATACTGCTGATAATGAAAATATATTGTATTTGTAATGAGACATAAATAATAAAGAGATTGGCAGTAATGAATGTGCATGACGTGATCAATTGTGCTGGTGAGAAGGCAATATATTGCCACCTAGATTAATTAAGTCCCATGCAATTTTGTGTTCAAAAATTAACTCTTCTCATCAGCTCCAAGCATAACTGGGAAAGCTGGTTTCAATCCCATTAGCTGATCTTGAAACTATGTGCACATATATATATATATATATATATATATATATATATATATATATATATATATATATATATATATATATATATATATATATATATATATATTTATTTCCCCCCCACATGAATTATATTGTTTGCCCAAAAAATCGGTTGATTATTTCATCTAGAAACAGTGTGAATGTTGTTTGAATTTGGTATGTCCACTCTGTGACAAGTGAAAGTGATATGTAATTCATGTATAATATGGTGATTTTTGGCTTCAGGATATAAAAAATGAAATTTACTTACTGATAAAATTCAGTGTAACCATGTTCATTAAGCCTCTGTGTCTCTCTAAGCCCTACCTCCTCAATACAAATAAAACTCTGCATAGCCGGATAGGACTAAATAGCTTTTTAATTTTACTGACAAAAGTATGATGCATCAAAACACCCGATTTTTTAGACCAGCTTTGAATAATAATACTTCAATTAAACCCAAAATAATTTTTATGGTAAAGAAGTAATTATAGTATTCTCAGTAAGTGGAATAATTGACCATCATTATGGAAATGATGTAGGCTGAAGTATTTAAAATGTTTAAGAATGTATAATTGTTGGTTTTAACGAAAGCCAAAGATATTTGACAACAAAGTATGATATGTCAGTCAGAGTCTCGGTGTTCAACTATCAGTGTATTATTTGTAAAAAGTGTCTGTAGTCACAATGGTGACAATAACATTTGTGTGGTTAATCTGGTTGAAGCAGAGATATGTCCTTAGATATGTCTTTATCAGCTTCAGTTTAGAGAAAGAGCGTTCTGCTGTTGCAACTGTAACAGGAATCGTTGCAAATAGGATGAGGAGTTTATACACTTGCGAGAAAGAAGAACTGACACGGCTTTCAAGCATTAAACGAATTACATCCGTAACAGATTGTCGCTCTGCGATTTCCTTTCTGAATTCGTTGACAAAAGATCGAAATTCAGACACAAGTTCTTCTGTAAAATCAGTTGGGTATTCTTCTACAATTGCTTCTGCAACAGTTTCAAGCTGAGGTGACTTTAACTGAGACATGTTTTGTGGATGAAGGCAACTGAATAGACTGGTGACCATTTTCTGACCTTCAAACCGTTGTTTGAGTTGCATAATGGCATTGTCAACCGTTTGGTAAAATACGTTGACTTTGAAAGCTTCTTCAGGATCAGTTAATCTTTGATCAGTAGAAAGCTCATCAAAAATCCGTTTTGTTTTGCGATTCCTCTTGTTCTCAAACGTTACAGATAAACTCCAGACCTGGGCTGTCGCAGTTAAAAGAACTGAGTTCCAAGAACTTCTTAAGATCACGAGTTCCGACAATGCACAGTGCACAGTTTAAAAGCCTTGATGCAACTGACAGATCAATCTTTTGCGACTGCAACTCTTTTGAAGCGCTGTTGATTGCTCGCAAAACTCGCTCCCACATAACGATAAATATAACAAATTCGAGTTTATCTATTTTGTTTTTCAATTGTTTTGCATCTTCTCTTTCTGCTTTATTAGTAGATGTTAAAGACAACCGTGTTAATACTCTCATGATATGTGGATACCTGTCACGAACAGCCCGTACAGCATCAATTCGCGAACTCCATCGCGTTGTACATAATTTCGTGAGCGTAAGAGATCTTTTTTCAGCTTCAAGACCGAGTTCTCTCCATCTCTTTAACGAAGGTGCGAAAAAGCTAAATAGTTCCCTTAATAGTCCAAAGAAATTCTCATTTTCTACAACTGAATTGACAGCATCGTTGATTACCAGGTTCAAATTATGACTGCCGCAATGAACGAAAGGAACTGGGCAGTAACCAT